TACTGTGTCAGCGAATAATAATAATAATAATAATATAGCATCACATTACTCATCTAATTATAGGTATGTTAGGTAGATCAAATGACGTCCTATTGAGGCAGATGGCCCGATGTTAACCTTTTTTATGTAATCCGTGTAGTTCTGCAATGGATATACCACCTAAACTTGCTGGAGTATCAAATCTCACCAAGAGATTGGAGACATATTTAAAATCGTGTCTTGCCAAAGTCGAACTAAAATCTGTCTTAGCAGTTCCTGGTAAGCGGAGCTGGGGGCATAATAGTTGATGTATCCACTTGCGAAATCGTCAGTTCCATAGCCACATAACTGACACACCAGATCTTAATTGAACTAGGACTTGGTGGAATACTGCTATGTGGTGGACACGGATCAGGAAAAACGGCCATCGCAAAGACTGTGGCCTATTCACTGGCACTTGATTATGAAACTTTAGCCCGTAAGCTGTTCACGTTGTGTTGTAAGTTACTGTACCAATTTCCTCCACGATTGCTCATCAAAAAAAGTTTTTATAAACAGACTGTGTAACAGTGAAATGCGCTGATGCCACTGAAGATCGTATTTCTACTGTAAAGGAAAAACTGCAACAATGTTTTGATGAAGCCGCTTGGCGAGCTCCAAGCGTAATTTTGTTTGATGATCTGGATCGGTTAATACCGGCAGAAGTCGAGGTATCTATCTTTACAATATTAGCCGTCCCTACAATGACGTAGCAATTCCCTCACAATGTATCTTTGCACATTCGCATACGTAGCACATGGACTCATTCAGATTTCGTCAACTGGCTGAATGCTTCTACCAAATTGCTTCCAGGATGACAAAGCGTCATAGAATAGCTATATTTGCTACTGTTCAACAACAGACTTCGGTGCATTCATACTTGACCGTGAGCCACTTGTTCAGCGAGATTGTGCACTTGCACCCGCCAACAAAGATGGAACGAAAGGAGGTAAGCATCGGATTGGATGTTTGCTATTGAATCAAAGTGATTAAGCGTTATCATAATGTTGGGCACTTTCCTAGCTGGGAATCGGCAAAGCAATTTAATACTGATTTGACGATATTTGTTGCATTTACCTATTGCGAGATACATGCTCATTTCATTAACTATCCCTTTTTTTTTTTACTCTTTATTTTACAGATTATGGAAACTATAATGTCATCAGGTCCACCGATGGCTAAGAACAGCATTTCCAAAATTGATTTATTGTCAGTTGCGGGTAGTACTGATGGTTATCTTGCTGCTGATTTAAAATCACTTGTTGAGAGGACAATCCATGAAGGCGTTGTAAGGCAGATAAACGCAAGATATACTGGTGAGGGCGAGCCATCGCTAGATGATGGTGAACTGACTGAGGATGATTTCAAGAAAGCTCAAGATGGGTTTGTTCCCGTATCCTTACGTGGAGTGAAGCTTCAAACATCAAGTGTCAATTGGTCTGATATCGGCGGTACGCAAAATCTGGACGTTTACTTGTTTTAGTTTATATGTTGATTGTTAATACTTCGTAATTCTGACTATACGTTGTTAGGATTAAAGGAACCGAGAAGAATTTTGTTGGAAACACTGGAATGGCCGACAAAGTATGCTTCCATATTTGAAAATTGTCCACTTCGTCTGCGCTCTGGATTACTTCTGTATGGATATCCAGGATGTGGAAAAACACTTTTGGCGTCTGCGGTTGCGAAGGAGTGTGGGTTAAATTTCATTAGTGTTAAGGGACCTGAATTACTGAATAAATATATTGGTGCTAGCGAGAAATCTGTGAGTATATATGCAATGTGGGTTCTGCCAATTAGGTTCCTTGTTACTTGCTAGCAGTTAACACTGGAATTGTAGGTCCGAGATTTGTTTGAAAAAGCTCAAGCTGCTAAACCCTGCGTTTTGTTCTTTGACGAGTTTGATTCAATAGCACCAAAGAGGTAGACATTGTTGAATTACACAAATATTAGTCTATATTTGATAATATATTTATACCGACTATGGTACCCATTAGAGGTCATGATAGCACAGGAGTAACTGACAGAGTAGTAAATCAGATGTTAACTCAAATGGATGGCGCTGAAGGCCTCGATGGTGTATATGTGCTCGCTGCAACAAGGTAAGTGTAAAATGATGTAATTTGCGTATTAAATCATGAAGTAATTGAAATGAATTTTGTACAGTCGACCAGATCTTATTGATCCTGCCTTATTGCGTCCGGGTCGTCTTGACAAATCACTGTTCTGTAATATGCCCACTCTTGATGAGAGAATAGAGGTAAGTAAGCTGCGTATCGTAGGATGTACTCGTATTTTTATGCAAGTT